ACAAACCCATATGCATGGTTTAAGAGTTCAAATTTTGACTTCCTAAAACAAAATATATTTAGAATAAATGTTAAATTGTACATGTTCGCACACAGAACTTGTGTAAATAATGACTGTCACAGATTTTAACCAGTTGTGTATAAATGACTCTTTGGACAATATACAGCATATACTGTGACACTGACAACTGGAGAAGAGCATGAGGCACTTGGAGAAGACTTAGAGGATGATTCAAGAATTGAGAAACGAGGCACTGAGTAAAGGTTAAGGAAGGGGGGCTGTTTGGGAATAAAGACTGCGGGAAAGCTTAATCGCATTCAAGTATATGAAGGGTTATTACAGATGATGTCCAGATGTTCTCCATTTATTAGACACAGTAGGCATTAGCGGAATGATCTTTTCTAAGCGTATCTGCTGCTCTATTCAAGGAAGCCTGTAATGCCACGTGTATTTTCTACCTCTGCACTATAGCAAGGAACATTCTCTCTGCCCAGAAACCTTTCCTCCCTAAGCCAGTCCTTGACTGCAAGGTGTACTTCCACTCCGTCCTCAGGGGAGCCTTTTGGTATGGATCATCCTTGACTGATCACTCTGGGTTCCCTCACAACTTCAATGGTATATTTAACCTTAGTTTACATGAATGATGTATTTTAAGAATAAATGTTTTATTCTGCAATATGTTAAGGGAATGAAGGGTGACAGTTGGTTAAAAAATTAGGTTGAATAAAAGTTAATTTATATTGTCACGGTGGTTTCCATTTTACCGTTTCCCTCATACACCTTTCTAGTAATGAAAAAGATAAAAATAATTTACAGATTCTTAGTGTTTGCTAAAGCCCAGTGACTTTTTTTTCTCTTTACAAAAGGAAAAAGATAAGATAAACAGGAATGGCAAGTTTCAACCTTATTGAAACCCAGTTAGCCTGCCTTTTCGAATGAACTTGAACATGTGTGCCAAGTCAGGATACATTAGAGGGTATCAGGTGTACCGGCCGCTGGAGTTTGCCAGTTGGACACTGTTAAATGTGGCACTAACTGCAGCTTTTAGTGCTAATTAATGCAGCTTTTACTGTACGAGACAGCATACTTCCCTGTCTTTTATTCTTTCCTTTGTTTTTTTGTTTTCATCTGTTCTTTCTTTCCCTCCTTTTTTTTTAAACTAGAAAAAAAAGTGGAGAGTAGAGCAGTGGTTCCCAACCCTGAACTTGCACACCAGACAATACATGTTTGTGGAAATACACAAAACAATGCTCTACCTCATATAAAAAGTCAAAGCAATTTAAAAGCTAAGTACCATTTCGCACCCACCAGATTGAAAAATATTTTAAAATGTGTGTCATGTCTCCAACAAAGCTTCAAGTTTCTTGAGAGTAACTGGGTATTTCTGTCTCTCATTACACCTAATGCTGTTATGAGCAATAGAACATAAACTCCCAAAATAGAAATTTTTGTGTTTTGTTCATTGCTGTTTTTGCAGTGCAGAAAGTACCCAGCACATAGTAGGTAATCAATAAACATTTGTGGAAGAATGAATGATATTAGTTCTTAACAAATACTTGCTGATTAATTGGATGGCTAAGAAGCCTTCGGGATCAATAATTTTCCTAAGAAGCCTCCAGTCAGTTTTTAGAAACTTCAGATCTAGGTTTTCAAAGTTGCGAGGACCACAGTTGGTTGAGCATGGGCTGGGACAGGAATGAAGGGCAGGGCAAGGGATTTCCCCACTCTGACCACACCTTCCTACCACAGTTCCCACTTCCCAGTCCTCACTGCCTCAAATACCCAACACTTCATAATTCACCCAGTTGCTAACCTTTCTGGGGCCCATACTTCATTTTTTTTTGAACCTGCATTCCATTGTCACATACTTCATGATTCCCAAAAAGGTTTCCATTGCTATTAACTTAGATCAGTCAATTCTGTGCTTTGACAACTACTATAATCTTCTGTTTGATCTTTGGTCTTTGGACTTTCCTCACCCCAATTCATCACTGCCAGACTAATCTTTCCAGAATATCACTTTCATGATGTTTCTACCCTGCTCAAAAGTCTTTAATGACTGCTATATGTCATCTACTTAAAAGATTTAAATTTCTTAGCTCTGTACCCCCAGCCCTCAGTGACCAGTTCCCCATTAATCTGTCTTCTCTGTGTTATTACCCAGAACTCCTGGACTCCTCAGTTCTAGTCTGATGTACTCATGTCCCCCCCAAATCAACTTGTGTTGTTCTGCCTCTGTATTTATTTTCTTGCTCATCAGACAGACCTGAGTGTCCCAAGTTCTCCAGTCTTCATCCTAAATCCATCTTTTGAAGGTCCAAATTATAATTCTGTAAGCCTTCTCTTCTTGTCATTTTCAGAATTTCTGAAAAATGCTGTCAAGTCTGAGAAAACCATTGTGTTGTCACTTGTCACCATGGTCAGTTTCTCACTCCAGAATGATCCTCTACCCTCAGTTGATTACAGCTTGCTCTTTCAAAGCTGGCTTCTGCAGGCTGCTGCTGTTCTCCAAGGATAACTGTGCCAGACATGCTCCCAGGCTGCACATCTAATTCCAAACCGTAGAGATACATCCAGATTATACTGGTGTGCACAATTTTACACAAGGCTTAGGGATAACTAGTGGAACTACTATACTACTGATGCTCTGTGACCACAGTCACCCACCCTTCCCCGCTCCCTCACTCTCCACACCTGCAGTCACACTTCAGGGGCCACCTTCTCTCCATCAAATGGACTTAGTCAGGGAACGTATATTAGGTGTCAGTTAAGTGCCAGACAATATGCTAGGCATTGAGGATACAAGGGTGAACCAAATAGACACAGTTGCTGTTTTCATGACTGACATTAAATAGCTACAAATAGTTGAGCGAACAATTATAAGTGTGCAAAATGCTGCCAAAGAAACACCTGGAGTCCAAGCTTAGGTCCTCTACACCCTCTGAGGCTCAGAGCGGGGAAGGAGTGCTCCCACCTCTTACATTCTATCTAGTCAAATTAATAAAATAATCTTTAGAAAAGCAATTCTGACCTTAGGGAAGACAGCTTTTTACATTATTATGCTGCTTAGCTTTTGATTTTTCCATATTTCCTCAATAGAGAATGAAAAAAGCCAAAATTCACGGACACTTAAACTATGTGCTTAGCACCATTCTAAGCCATATATATATATGTATACATAAGCCACACACACACACAATTTTCACAATGACCTATGAAGGTGTCCTATTTATTATTAATTCCCCCATTTTACAGATGAAGCAACTAAGGCACAGAAAGGTATAACTAACTCAGTTGCACAGCAGGTAATGGCAGAATTAAGAATCCAGGCAATTTGACTGCCTACCCCAAAGTCTTTATTACTACCTTCTAACACAGAAAATTTGCATAATCACAGATAGGTCATTAAAATGATTTTCCCAAAACAATGGATCTTCCTTCAAAGGTGTAATCTATCTCTACCTTTAACGCAGAGAAAAAATGTTGGCAGCCCCTCAGAAGCAGTTCCCCACCTTCCGCCTCCAGACTTCCATCCCAGGGCAAGGTTCAGGGCACTCTGCCACAGCCTGCTCCTCTACTCAGCTGGACTGTCCTCCTTTCCAGTTGTTGAACCCCCACCCATTCTTCTACAGCAGCCGGACCAAGCCCTTCCCAAGCCTAGTTCATAGTGATCTCTTCCATCTCTGAGTTCATGTAACAGTCACTGTTCACAGACACACTCTTACAGGTGCCCTTCTCTACTAAGCTTATAGGAGTGTATATTTCTCCAAAGTAAATAGCACTGTGTGTTGCATGAAATTGGTCCTCAAGAAGAACTGACTGATTTGATAAAGAGTGGGTCCCCAGATTGTAGGGGGTCTGTGTGGCAGGCAGCAAGACTGGTAGCAAGTAGGCATTTTAGTTCTTGATTTTATGGTTTTTAAATGATTTTAAAAAAATCTATGGACATTATGAACATATCTGGAAAATACTCATTCAATAAATGTTTAATGTGCCAAGACATTGTGCTGGGTATTAAAAGTAAAATAAACTCTTTCCTGATCTCTAGACCCAAACTGCCAGCTGCCTTCCAGATACACCCTCAAGTTCAAATCCAAGATCATCCTCCTTATCCCTACAGCACAGGAATATATTCCAAACTTGCCCCTCTTTACAGTCTCAACATTTCCTGTCAGTTACTTTTTCCATTAAAAAAATCTAAGTTATATATTTACTCTATGAATGTAATGAGGAAACATACTAAGAGACCCTGTTCTTTACTGTTTTGCCAACTTAATAATACCATCAGGGCAACTCTCTCTGTCTACATGTAGATCTTGCATTAGCTGTGGGGCAGCTGCAATTTTAATTTATTATGTGCTAAAAGAGTTCACAATTACTTTCAAAACATTATTTTTTAATTGAGGATTTTAAGTGGGACAAATGAAGCAAAGGAACATGTTATGTCTTTCACAGCCCTCGAGATATAAATCTTTACGCAATGTAGAAATATAGTTAAATAAAATTCAAATTTAAAAAGCTAACCATTCATATTAATGATCAGTGGCAGAGATGTTTAGTTTTCTGCCACAATTTCAATCCAGAATTAGTCAGCTTCTAAAATACAATACATGGAAAATTGACTCACTTGAATCCTAATGCAACAAATTTGAACTAGAGTTTTAGTTTTTTGTAACTTCTGTAAAAATTCTCCAAATGTACTGGTTTAGATTATGTTGGGGATGGAATCTGGTTCCTATGTTAGCTTTCCAGACAAATTTAAAGAAAGGCATCTTGGCCTTGGCTGGTGTGGCTCAGTTGGTTGAGCGATACCCCAGGCACAGAAGTTGCTGGTTGGATTCCTGGTCAGGGCACATGCCTGGGTTGCCGCTGGATACCCTGTAGGGGGCATGCAGGAGGCAGCTGATCTCTCATCGATGTTTCTCTCTCCTCCTCTCCCTTTCTCTCTCTCTCTAAAATATAAACATATTTTAAAAAATAAAAAGAAAGGCATCCTGGTATTTGTTTGCTCCTGTTCTAAGTGGGTTCTTTACATTTTATTTGAATTAACTTGCAAAGTAATTGTTTATCTAGAAATTAGTATTAAAATAAAAACCTGGTATACAAAAAAAATAGTAAATATAGATAATCTGAAAAAATACTGTTAAGACATTTCTCCAACACCATAACAGTGGTATAAAACATGAACATGACGCTTGATAGGATCCACAATGAAGTAAGAAAATGTCTGTTCATGACTCTTTGTTGAAGGGTAGCACACACCAGCAGAATCCTGCAAAAGATAAATTATTTAGTACACAACTACATTTAAATAACAATCAACATATTTTCCGTTAAAANCTTAAATTGTTTAGTACACAACTACATTTAAATAACAATCAACATATTTTCCGTTAAAATGTCATGAAACATACATCAAATCTTTGACAATAAACTGGCAGTTAACTAATTTTTAAAAAATACCAACAGCACAGTCTACTATGTTAACAATACATATGTACAATACTACATAAACATGCATAATTCTTGATCTTAAGGAATTTATAGTCCAAAAGAAAATCTATCTTTTGAAAAAGTGCTTATACGTGCTAATATTGCAAAAATTTCTATTTTGAATTTTTTTTTCTACCTTTGCTTTCTTTTAAAACATGGTCAATATGTACTATGAGGGGCTATGTTTCTTCTGTTTATCAACAAAAAGCACCTAGCCCAGCACAGTAGCTAATACACAGTAAATAATAAATATTGAACTGATTGAATGAAGATACTTAGAAAGTGCTTCATATGTGCCAATAATCTTTTGTATGATACTAAAATCCAAGCAGCCAATTCTGTGATAAAAAGACATGTATGGCATTCTTATTTGACCTATAAACTGTGGTTTGACAGAGAACTATGTTTTATTCCACATGAGTCACAGATTTAGCTCTTAACTAAGTAGAACTATTATTAGACATGTACGACAGAAAGGAAGCCAGGGGAAAAAGTTCACACTGTTCTCCAAATAAAAGCATACCTTACCAACTTTTAATTTTAACAAAAAACTAAATATCATCATCTTTTTTCCTAGGCATAACATAGTCCTAGCTGCTAACTCCAGCTGTAACAATCCTGTTAATAGCAAGTAATTAAATTCATTGGTAGTAAATTTCCCCTCCACTTACATATGCTGTAACTTTAAAGATGAAAGAGGTAATTTGTATTTCCTTGGTTTGAGGATGCTTTCGAACACTAAAATGGGGGGGGGGGAAGTACATTTTAAATATAACAAGCATTGGCATAATACATTTAAAACACTGATACCTTTTAGTACTCAGGTGTTCTTAATCATATATAACATGGAAATGTATAATATCCAAATGAAGTGGTTTGAAAAGTGTGGCAGCTGTGGATTCATTCAAGGATGACGCAAAGTCAACTGAGTTGAAATTGCAGAAAACTGAATTTTAGAAGGTTGAGGTCAGTCTGAGACTCAAATGATCAAATGACTCCCAGGCCAGAGACAATTATTGAAAAAGAAATTAGTAAAAGTCAGATTGAAGAGTCAACAGCTGTAAGGGATAGATAAATGCATACTAAACTGAAGAATTACACAACCTAAATAAACACAACTGCCAGTTATGTCACAGGTTTGTTATTTCATTTGGGGAAGATTAATATTTCTGAACCTCGATTTTCTCATATGTAAATAAGGCATACTATGGTTCCTTTTAGGATAATAGGAGAATTAAGTGGAATAATGTATATGAAAATTGTTAAATTATGTATTACTAACTTATATAATATTAAAAGCATTTTCTCTCAGTAGCTCTCTTTCAATTACACTCCCCACAAAAGATTACCTGTGGCAATACATAGTGAGGAAGCAAACTGAGGATCAAGGAAATAAGCTACAGATAGATATGTACATATAAATGTATACAGACTGTATTTATAATGCTTTACTATCTGCAAAATACCTTTATATAGTTTACCTCCTAAAGATCACACAACTCAATGAGGTAGGCCTCATTTAACCAATTTTATAAACAATAGCACTAGAAAAGTTAAATGATATATTTAAGACATTCCAACTAAAAGTGGTATTTCTGGGAACAGAAGCTAGGTGACAGAGTCCAGTTCTCTTATCCTACACCTCACTTGTTTATCCTATACCTGTACTCTATAAATACATGTGCATCAAGGATATTATTCAGGTGTGTGTAGGTTAAATGTAAAGGATGACATTCCTCGTTTTCACTTTATCATGTGACAGCACTGCTTCTCCCTTGCTGCATCAAGGATATTAATCAGGTGTGACATGCAGGTTAAATGTAAAGGACGACATCCCTCGTTTCCACTTTATCGTGTGACAGCACTGCTTGTCCCTTGCTACTTATGTAAAAGTGATGGGGGAGAGAGAGAGGAGGAAGGTGGACTTTGTGGAAGGGTGTGTGTGTGTGTGTGTGTGTGCTTGTGTACCTTAGGGAATGGCCAGACCTAAGCCATTTCAGGATTCAAGATTCTTAGGCAGTTTTCAACTCTGAAACATTTCATTCCGACATGGGTTGGGGTCATCTTTTACTATTTAATGCTCAAGATATACTTTTTAAAAGCTGAAGACTACATTTAAAATGCTGTGCTATAACCACTACATATAAAACACTTTTACACCTACATAATCAACCAGATCAAAACAGAACGTATCTACAGTTATATCCAATTTTTGATCTGGAGGTGTTCATATGGATATAAACACATATAAAAATTCACCAATCTATATGTACACTATGATTTGTTCATTTTAAGTGTATGTAAATTACTACTCAGTTTACAAAATATAGTAAAAGAAACCCTTGTAAAAGTTTGTGCTTATCAAATAAACTTAAGAGGAAAATTTAGTATTTGGTACTTCATTTAACAACCGCTTAACACGTATTAACATCTATCATAATGTATTTCTTTTGAAATCCATGTTTCTTTTTTTAAATTTGATTTTTCAGGAGGAAGGGAGAGAGAGGGAGAGAGGGGGAGAGAGAGAGAGAGAGAGAGAGATTAATTTGTTGTTCTACTTATTTATGCATTGATTGGTTGATTCTTGTATGTGACCTGACTGGGGATCGAATCCACAATCTTGGAGTATTGGTATGAAGCTCTAACCAACTGAGCTACTCAGCTAGGGCCCGTAAGTGTATTAGTTAATAAAGAAACTATAACTTATACATTAGAAGTTGGTTCATAACATAAATAAATCATATTACTCCATTTTATTATCTTTAATCTTTTATTGCTATAACTTCAAAATATCTCGTAAGATAATTTTGTATAATTTTTTATAGGTCAAGTACGGTATCATCCATCTGATATCTCTTAAGAAAAAAAGAACAAGAAATGTAAAGTGATATTGGTTAATGACCTCAGGTATGGGACTAATAACTGCATTGTATCAGATTTTGGGCAATCACTAACTCACTCTCCAGATAACCATGGTTTTTAAAGACACTGGGACATAATTTCCATATAGTTCTTTTTTAAATTTCTTATTTTTTTAAGTGGTGGGAGAGTCTTTTTTAATTTATTGATTTTAGAGAGAGAAGAAGGAAGAAACAGAGAGAGAGAAAGAAACATCAATTTGTTGTTCCACTTATTTATGCATTCATATGTGCCCTGACCAGGGATCAAACCCACAACCTTGGCATATTGGGACCATGCTCTCATTAACTGAGCTACCCAACCAGGGCCCATATAGTTATTTTTAAAAATGTGATTCTGTTAATGGTCTAGAAATAAAATAATAAAATAAATGGTTTCCTATTAATATCATTTGTGCTACTTTCTGAGGATCAGTCCTGTGTTGCTTCTAAATATGTTATAGAGATCATTCTAGGTAACTCTGCTCATTTCAAGAAGCAAGAATCCCACTGCCTAATTAGCATCCAAAGGCCATAATCTAGGCCTCTCAGTTCAAATCATAAAATTTCACCTATGGGACAGATAGATAGCTTGGGAAACCTCTCCAAAAACTGACAAGAGCATGTGTTTAATGTCTAAAGTAAAAAAGACACAGGTACTATTAGTAACTGTTGAGTTATTTCTGCATAGATATTTCTGAAATGTAATGAAACAATTGATCATTCACTCTCTAATAAAGTATTGCCTATGTTGTTTAAGGAACCACACTACTTAAAAAGAAGGCAGTTTCCAAAATGTTTAAAAGGTATATTTTATAGGACTTGTAAAAATAGATAAGGGATAAAATATCTTAAGAATGTTTTTATCCTTTTGTTTGAGCCAGAGACTTCTAAAATCAGGCTCTGTAATGTGCCCTCAACATCCACAAATATAAGAACGGACTTCTTAGCCAGAATGGATTAGTGATGATGTTTCTCTGCAAGGGCAGGTCAGATACTGTAAAGCAGCAACTACATGTATAATTAGGAAGATAGATGTTTTTCTAAATAGTGAAAAAGCAGACAAAATACATGTAAAGGAACAGGAAAAGATATCCTTCTTGGTTAAATTAGCTTGTACAAATGACTTGATTGGATATGTGGCTCACAATTCTGAGATATTACTGATGATACTTCAAGTTCCACCTATGTGTCCTCTACTAATATATTTCTTGATAACTGCTATATTGATCCACCCTACCTCTTTACCTTAACCAAGTGACATAGCATCTGCCCAACCAATACTAGAAAAGCTACAAGCAGTGCATGTGATAAATAAACCAGTACAGCTAAGGGACTCTGAGATAATTTACTTCATTCAATTGCTGACTGTTGACACCTAAGCCACCTTAAGCAAATATTTATTCTAATTATAACTTTCTACCAAAGTTGCTCTGGAAAGACAATTTTGTATCCCCTCCTAATTCAGCAAAGAAATTCAAAAGCATTTTAAATTTGGATCATGAGAGAAATATTTTTGGTTCTCAAAAAAAAAGTTACGCTATAATTGGACTGGGCTCCTTCTCAGCCTCCCCTGGCATGAGGACTGGGAATGCCCCTCCCCTGAGCTGGGAATAGACTGCCCTCCTCTTTGCTGGCCCTCTTGGACTCGATTCGAATCATCAAGACTTCCCTGACTGCTGACACTGACAATTTCCTTTTTTGACTATCTGGAGTATTTATTAAAGTATAAAGAGCTATAAACATTTGCCTATAATTAATTGAACATTTGATTACATAAAATATTACTTATAAAGATTTTAAACAATTACTTTACTATTATTTAATGTTAGTTTGTTGTAATTTCCTTAAGGTTAAGGACTGTCTGATGCTCCTCTTGTAGTCTCTCTAGTGTTTGGCAGAGTTCTGTGCACAATATTAATACTTGCTGGCTGCCCGATTAAGTGATTCCATGGATACAATTCCTATTTGTCTGTAAAATGTCATGAATTTTGGCTACTCATTTAACGAGTGGCCATTCCTCTTTGAGTCAAACTTTTTCTTAGCACCCAAAGAGTACAGAAGGCAATCACAGGTAAGAATCCAGGGGAGGAAATGCTGGGGAAAAGGTTTCTTCAACGTTTAGGTTCTAAAGTTACTTCTATTTCAAATATCTCCAATAGAAGTTCCTCCTCCACAGTGCATGGTAGTGAGGAATTCCACAGGCTCATGTGGCTGATGAGAAACACACTGCGGTGGCCGTGGGGTGTTGACAGGGAATAATGAGTAGTGTCTACATGGGGTGCTAGAAGCGGTCTTGGAGGTTTTCATGAGCTGCAAATGATAAGGGCAGAGTATGTTTGATGTAGGTATGTGTATGCTTTTTCTACAATTCTGTTTCTAATATGTCTCTTCCAACAATCTTTAATAAATTTTCATAAAAATCAGAGACCACTTATAGAAATATTTTTGTTTTTAAAACCATGTATCAGAAATTAACTAAAATAGCTAACTCATGAAGTTTGTTGTTAAGCTATATGACACACGGAATGGAGAAGAGAATTGAGGTGTTGAGTATCAATAAGTAACAATCAAGAGTTTGATAAGGAGCAAATTCTGTTGTTTCCCTGGTAAAGCAAATTTTATAACTAAACTCCAGGACCCTTTGTTTTATTTGTTCCTATCCCCTTTCCCTATAATATCTTATATCCCCTTTCCAATATCTTCATCACTGAAAAGCCCAACCAAAGAACGTTCACTTCATTTAAAACTAAAGTATAAATAAAAGATATAAAGTTTTTATCCTCATTTGATCTTCAAAAAGAAAAAGAAAAAAAAAACCCTAGTAGAATATCTAAAACACACTGGGATTTGGGATTAGTTTGAAAAAGTAAAGATTACAACTAGATGAAAATTCTTCCATCTCTTTAGAACAAAGGCAATCTTTTTTTACTATTAGTCAAGCAAATTCAAACATCCTGAGGCATCTCATGTTCTGAGATTTAACAGGAGGCCTGCGGTAAAAAAAGGCGGCCAGGACGATGGCGGCTGCTGCTGAGGAATGGAGCAGGCACAGGTCCGAGCGAGGAGGCCGAGCACTGAAAGGTCAGGGCACTGTCCGGCCTGGGAGAGGCGGCGGCTGTAGTAGGGGGTCAGGGCGGTGGCGTCTGTATATACTCTGGTTGCTAACAGGACCACAACCAGACTCGGGGCAATCCCACCAGTTAAACAGATGATTTACTCTATTAACCAGAGATTTACATATTGTAATCTAGCAATATTACCTCACCAGATCCTTATAGATAAGCTTTGTGGTTTCCAGATATGGATTAAGCACATCCTCATATTGACAAAGGGCTCCACCAAGGCAGAGATGTTTGAAAAGACAAAACAGGAACTCTTCTCTGTCTGGTTGGCTGAATATTTCATATTTTTCTGAGTCTTCCACTAGCAAAACCTATGTAAGATGATAACATTCATCTTAATGTAACATAATTGGAGGTTCTAATTTTATGTTTTTGAAAGTTGCAACTTATATATTTAAAAATAATCTTAGTCCTACTTTAATAACAGTCCTGAGGCAATTGGAGAGTGTGACCTGTGAGGCCCACGGCACTGTGTTCAGCCCACTCTGTCCTTAGGTACTGAACTTCAGTGAGAGAAACAATCTAATCTAGGCCTCCTCTTACACTTCATTTCTTTGTTCTAGTTTGGACCTTCCTTCGGTAATTGTCTCAGTGCTATTGCAATTTAGTGTTGAGTCACCTTAAATCTTACTTGGAAACAACAGGAGCACAAATAAATGGAGAAATTTCCCCACCGCATTGGGTCTACAGTCTTTGCTTCCACGGAGGCTAAACACAGTGGTCAGTTCCCACATCCTCTCACCTTAGTGTTGTTTGGGTCACTACTTTCCTTACCACCAGTCACTCCACTTTGAACTCTTTCGGTAATTAGAGCCTCATAACCACTCTCCTTTTCCTGCTCTCCTCTAACAGTATCACCTTACACATCACCAACCTACATTTGACTTTTACTGTCTTGAGACCTTGCTACCTACCGCTTCAGAAAACAGTCTGGTTAGGTCTGAAGTTGGGGGTTTTCTTACACCATTAGACATTACAAGAATTAATTTGCTGACTGTGGTGGATATGAACAAGGTGATGAATGTATGCTGTAACATATGTTTTCTTTCATTAAATTGTTTATACCCCACCTACTTTTAAAAAGGTGAAATAACAATAAAATACAGATAAAATGAGATGAAAATAATAAGACAAAAACTTTTACCAAGAAATAAAATGAGAAGAGGAAACAAATACACATAAGGAACTCTAAATGGAGAAAAGCTTTAAAATTGTACTTACATTTAACAGTACCATACAGATAAGAGGGAAACATAAGTTACACAACAAGCAGTCTACTAGCAGGAAGTACACTTAATTGGGAAAACTGATAAAGTTAACATTTTATTTACCCCAATCTCAAATGAAAATCCATCACAAGGTCATTATAGGAGGCATCTTAAAAAATAATAAACTCTATAGTGCTGTCTATATACAGTTTACTTATATAATGACTTGGTGGAAGCCAAAGTTATACATAGTAAAAGACAGGTAAGGGGAAGTGGTCCGTAGTTCACTGCTCTCTGGGTGAGCCGCTTGTACATCCCCCTTCTCTCCCCGCACCCCTGTAAGCAATGATGTGATACTAAAGCCCAAGTTTGTAGCTATCTAAAGATCTGGCTTAATACAAGGGTGACTAAAGCCCTTAAGAATGAATAGTTTAAATATATGGTGACTGAAGATGATTTGATTTGGGGTGGTGGGCACACAATGCAATATACAGATCATGTACCATAGAAAGGCACACTTGAAACCTATATAATCTTATTAACCAATGTTACCCCAATAAATTTAATTTTAAAAAGAATGAATAATTTACACATTCCTTACGAGCACTCTCATATATTGGACCGATTGGGCTGTGTAATTTAAAAATTACAATTAGAAAAATTTTTTGGAATGAATGTTAAATAATAACATTCTATAGTTTACTTCCCTCTCCACTCACATATAGATGTTTAGTTGTGTAGCCCTCAGAGATTTGGTATGAAATGGTTAATGAGTCAAACTTCCAAGCTGCAGTCAGAAAGGTTATTATCATCAGTACATATGTTACACAGTGTGCAAACAGAATCCGTGCTGCTGTACAATGGGGGGCCCTTTCTATTTCAGGCTAAATCTGGAAGTTATTTATTTTTCAGCCAGAAAGCAACCAAGTTAAAACTGTCCCTGTTGCCACAGGGTGGCAAAGAACACAAGAGCAAAACATACAGGCAACTAGTAGAAAAACACTGAGTTCCAGCACTTCCTGAATAGAGGTGCCATTCATGGCATAAATAAGACAGGCCACAGCAGACAGTTTTAAACAGAGTACTCTGTCAGAAAGCAAATCCTCCTTTTAAAAAAGTCCATTGCTGAGGCCCTCTCTGTAGAAGTGCTGATGAAGTCTCCAAAATTAGGGGTAAGGACCTTGACACAAAAAGGTTAAGTATGCCAATACAGATCAGTGACAGAGAGAAGAGCTGAGATTATTCCTACCCGAAAGGAAAGAAACCCAGACTAAACCAGACACTTCCTGAATGATAATTTCCAATCATTGGTAAGAAGTAGAAATTAACATCAGATTCCCACTGTACAATATTTATATTATCTTGTTATACATAAATATAACCTTTCTTTCAATTAGGTGAGTTTGGTTATTCTCAATTAGTTCATTTTATTTTCTTAAACTAAGAGTTCTCTTAGGTATTGTACTAGTGTAGATCAATGTAGACTAGATGGATGCCTCCTGGTTTCCTACAGACAAGACTGCTGTCTCCATTATGGTGCATCAGTAACTTCCCTAGTTCATTCCTGGATTTGCAATACATTAGACTTGTACATATCCCTTCTCTCTTAATGTGGAGTAATAATAGTAATTAGCAGTAGTGAATATTATCAAAAGCTTACTAAGTGCCAGGCATTGTGCTAAGCACTTTAAATGCATTATCTCACATACTTCTTATACTATTCCCATTTTATAGATAAAAATACTGAGGCCTAGAGACCTTAAGTGTCAGTTGCAAAGTGGCAGAGCCTGGATTTGAACCTATGTGTATTTGATAACAAAGCCCTAATTTCTAATCACTTTATAAATACTTTCTCAATAATTAAAATAATAATATTTCATTTTAACCTCATTTCATACTTTTTTTAATAAAAAGTGTATTTAAATACTTTCTTCACTCATTTTCTCAATGATTTCAGGAAGAAGGTAGAACAGATATTTTAAAAAAATTATTGTTTTTTTTAACATAAAGGAAGGACAGGAGAGGGGAGAGAGAGAAAGAGAGAGAGAGACATCAATTTGTTGTTCCACTTATTTCTGCATTCATTGGCTGATTATTGTATGTGCCCTGACTGGAGATAGAACCCACAACCTTGGCGTATCAGGATGACACTCTGACCAACTGAGCTACGTGGCCAGGGCCTAGAATGGACATTTTAATCTCCATGTTGTACAGGTAAGATCTTGAGGTTCAACAGACTGAATGATTTGCCTATGGTTATTATTATCTTGTAAATAACTTAGACATTAGGTAAATAATCTTTGTCTTCTGATTCCAAATTCGGTACCTCTCACTAAAACAAAAATTAACTTAGTTAATTAAATGGCTTTAAAAGAAAAATCTCAGTGATAAAAAGATTCTTTTACTACAAGTATGTTTTTAAATACTTGTTTGGTATGTTAAGAGCCCCACATTGAAGAAAAATAGCCACCAATTACATAGGTCAGGGTTTCACTACTGATATTTTGGGCCAGATAATTTTGTTTTAAGGGGCTGTCCTGTGTATTGTATGATGTTTAGGATCATCCTGGGTCTCAACCCATTAGATGTCAGTAGCTTCAGGTTGAGAACTACTAAAATACACAAATAATTAAGTAGATAGTAAAAGTCTCATCCAAGAAACCTATCAATGTAATGATTATTACTGATCATTATTCATTGATAAGATGTATCTTATGGGTTTAGACAGGCAAAACTTTTTGACATGAAGCACTTCCTAAAATAAAATTCTATTGTGAAATTTAAAAATTCTGTACTTACCTTTCGTAACTCATCAGAAATGAGAAAAGGATCACAAAAAGAATCTAAACATTTAACTATATGTCCACTGTCTCGTACAATATCTTCATTGTATAACCGTTTAAAAAATGACATTGAAAGCTGTGTGCAAGGAACATTTATAGCTTCAATTTTTTTCACTTCAGTTCCTGAAAAGAGATATTTTTACATAGACATATAAAAATTAATTTAATATTCTCAATTATTTCCAAAACAAGCATTACTATGGAGAGGTTCAAAGTAATGAAATCTGATACATTTTGATATATTTAAAAGATACAATAGTATAGGAATTTTATTAAATTCTTATTTTGCAGCTTTTTCATTTTTATTAATCATTAAAAGTTTATAACAAAGTTTCACCATTTCAGGCCTAGATGAAGAATATGTAAATTAGGAAGTGCGTTAAAATGAAATAGATTGTTTTTGTGTGTAGTGGGGGGTTCTTAGCGCAGTTTTAATGCATATATCAGAATTGCCTATAAAAGCACAGGAATTACTTTATATGACTTTGGATTTATATTATGCTTAATGCATATTATAAAAGTTTTAATTAATATAACTAATGGGTATTTCTACAGTCCTTGAGGGTGTCTTGAAAATATCCCTCTCCATTTAAAAATTTCTTCATTAATTTCTCATTTACAGTGTTATTGCAAAAAAAGATTTTCTTTTTTAACGTAAATTTAAAACCAGGCCCTAATCAAGTTATCACAAATTTGGAATTAGGAAAATTTGAAATCATGGTGTTTTGTCTATTTTTCTCTTGTAATTCTAGTTCTTCCCCTTCCCCACTTATTTCCTGAATATGTCTTTCAGGGCTGGATTTTCTGTTACTAGAAGTTCTATTAAATTACAGAAATACATAAGGATTAAAATGAATATTTTTATTATTCCCTCAATGAATCACTCAATTTCTCTCTTTTATGCACCCACATATACACATGCTCTCACTCAGATATAGAGGGGTGGTGGTCTTCTTTCTTCAAAGACCTATGGAGACTGTAGACCAAGGTATGATGGTTGGTCCTTGGTATGTCCTCTCCCCATACATTTAACTGGATCTTTACCTGGAGAAGCCACTTGAGATTCAAAGGAGTAATACTGGTGATTATTTGCACTTCCTCCCTATTGTTTTCCACCTAGAGTCCTGCTAGAACCTGAGCTGGACTAGTGTAAAGGCAAGAAGAATGCCCAGAGCCCAGAACTGTAGATGCCTCAGTAATTTCAAAAGCAGTGCTGCTAAGAAAAGCTCCTTTTGTTTCAGAGGCAAAATCTTCTGGGGGATTAAAGGGAAAAGACCACAAATAATAGAGTAGGTCTAAGCAGTATCAGAAGACCAAAGAACAAGAGCAGTGAAAAGCAAGACAAGTTTTTGAAGATGGGTTGGTGGCCACAGAATGAGGGATTAGCATTGGGCAACCTGCCATTTTAACAAATGCACCCAAGCTCTGATTTGAGGAGTGACAGGAGGGTTTGGATGCTAGGAGAAGGTAATTAAATATAAATACTTAATCTGAGGCATAGAAATAGTATTTGCTATGGACTGAACTGTAGCCCTCTAAATTCATATATTGAACCCCTAAACCCCAATGTAATGGTATTTGGACATGGACACTCTTGGGAAGTGATTAGACTTAGATGAGGTGATGGGTAAGGTTAGGACTTCAACTTGGGGATTTTTAAGAGACAAAATTCAGTCTACAGCATTCTGCCTCTGGACCCCAAAATTCATGTCCTTCTCATACGCAAAATATATTTAGTATATCCCAACAGCACCAAAAATCTTAAACATTCCAGCATCAACTCTAAAGTCTAAAAGTCCTAAGTCTCATCTAGATATCATCTAAATCAGGTATGGGTGAGAGTAGAGGTATGATTCATTCTGAGGCAAAATTCCTCTCCAGCTATGAACCTGTGAAACCAGACAAGTTACGTTCTTCTAAAATACAATGGTGAGACAAGCATAGGGATAGACATTTCCATTCCAAAAGGAGAAATAGGAAAGAAGGAAGGAATTATGGTTCCAAGCAAGTCTAAAACTTATCAAGGCAAATTCCATTAGATTTTAAACCCCAAGAACAATCCTCTTTGGTTCAATGCACTGTATTACAGATCCACTAGGGCAGTGGCCCCACCTCTACAATTCTCTCCCCATGGCGAAGTGGGCTGTTGAAACTGAGAGGTTGACCCTCATGACCTCTGAACTGCGTTCTCAGATATATAATGTATCACTATGATCATACAGTTAAAATAGTATTATTTTCCCCCTTGATATTAGCATTATAATACACTGGGTGCCTCGTTTTTATTGTGTCCAAGTTGGTGCTTTTCTGGCAACCTCATTAATGTGGAAGTGGCAGACACAGGATGGTGCAGTGGTCAAGGTCTTGAATTCTGGAGCCTGGATCTGAATCTCAGCTCTACCCAGCCAGCTGTGCAAACCTGTGCAAATTACCTAGTTCATGCCACTGACTCATTTGTGAAATAGGGATATATAATAATACCTCTCTCAGAGTTGTTTTGAGAAGTAATAATGTATATAATGCTCTTAGCTGAGCACATAAAAAATACTCATTATATGTAAGTAAAAAACAGGCAAAGTGTGTCTAAATGAAGGTGGCTGTGGCAGCTGGCTGGGAGGACTAAGCAGCACTAACAACTGGCAATCAAGGCAATGCCCCAGTAGTGAAGGAGGTTCCATCTCATTCTCTTTAACATTGGTTCACTTGCTAGAAGAATGCTATTTTTCTCATTTTAAAAAGCTGTTTCACCCAGCCGGGCGTGGCTCAGCGGTTGAGCATCGACCTAGGATCCAGGAGATCGGGGTTCGATTCCTGGTCAGGGCACATGCCCGGGTTGTGGGATGCAGCCGATCAATGACTCTCCTCTCATCACTGATGTTTCTATCTCTCTCTCTCCCTCTCCTTTCCTCTCTATGAAATCAATAAAGATGTATTTGGGAAAAAAAAAAAAAATTAAAAAAGCTGTTTCTTCATTGCCAAGGCCCCCAGAGGAAAATAAGAGAGAAGGCCATATTTCAGAAGAAGAAAAGTTAAGTAGGGGGAGATGAAAACAAGCTAATGGAAGAATACTAGCAATCCACTAGTAAGGTCTGCTTCTGAAATGAGTGCTACCTCTTCTGCCCTACTTTCCAGAGTACTTCTAATTGATTCTGTCGGGCACATGTGGGGTTTTAGAACCTCTCTTTTTGCAATGCCCTTTTTAAAAATTAAAAAAAAGTCAGTGTTTTGTGAAGTATGTACCAGCATGGGGGAAGGCTGAACACTTTTCTCAATGAACCTTATTTTTTGTAAATGAATTGACTGGTTACTGTAAACATGCTTTATAAACACAGATAAATGGCTCTAATTATTTCCTTTTGAAGATTTTGAATTGGTAAATATATTTGCTCAGATACTCAGTTTAACTTTGTAAGTATCTGAAGATCATGCTGTACCAGCTTTTTACTCTATAAATTTTGCAGTAGTCCTTTAGCCAAAAGCAATAAAATCTGACCTACTAAGTCTAACATCATGAACTGTTTGTAATCTTGTTTTTGACTAATACCAAGAAAAGTTATTTTTGTGCAAGGCTACTAGAATTCCAAAAAATGCAATGTAAGAATTCACCAAAACAACCTCATCTAATTTAAAATTGACTTGCTTTTTCTTGAGTACAAATTCACATGACCAACCAGATTTTCCTTCTAAATGGAATGATGATTGTTAAGAGGCCTCAATCTAAAATTTAAAATATAGTGTTCATGTACAAACTGATGGCTGCCCAATGGGAGGAAGGTTTGGGGACAGGTCAAAAAGAAGGGAGTAAGAAGTACAAATTGCCAGTTATAAAAACAGTCATGGGGATGTAAAGTACAGCATTAGGAATATAGTCAATAACACTGTAATAACTGTTTGGTGTCACATGGGTACTACTTATCAGGGGGATCACTTCATGAGTTATATAAAAGTCTAATCACGGGGATGTACGCCTAAAACTAAAATAATACTGTGTGTCAACTGTAATTTTAAAATTAAAAATGGAAATTTAAAAATATATATACTGTTCATGTTTTTGTTTTCAAAATATTCTTCTATTAACACTCTGATTTATTCCTTGACCTGAGAGTTATTTAGAGATTTGAGTGTTCCTAAGTGTTTAGGTAATTTTCTTTAAAGATTTCTAGCTGTATTTCAATGTACCATGAAAACATTAGCTATATAAAGTTATCCCTTTGAGAATTTAAGACTCTTCCAAGACTTAATGTGCTATTATTTTTTAAAAATTACATTCATCGGGGTTATAGGTATTATTTTTTAAAGAACGTTCCATAGTGACTAGTTCCTATCAGAAATCCATTACCCTGCCCCAAACGAGATTTTGCCCAAGCATTCTCAAATCAGTGGAATCTTACTTGACCCCTTCCCCTGTGAAGAACTGACCACTTCCCTTCTTTTGCTTCCACTTCTATGGTAGCACGTGTGGTACATTATTGCACGTTTTCACATATTGAGTTCTTTGAGTACAGCTTCTCTCTTATTCATCTTAATGTTTCCTGTATCTGGCAGAGTCCATGGAAGGTGCAAAATAAATACTTTCCAAATTAATGAAAAGAGAAAAATTGCTCTACTGTGCTAAGCCAGGAAAAGGTGCAGGGCAGGCCTGGCATAGCTGATCATACTTGGCCTTGATGTTACCAAACAAATGACTATTCACAATTTGTATTTTAATAAAAATTCCTGAGGCAAAATTTTGTTATAATAGTAAAATAGTCATTTGAAAAGATAAAAATAAATTTTATTTACCTAATGTAATCCACTGTCCAGAATCTGAAAGTAACTTCAAATTGGGAATAACATTTGGGTCTTTGAAAAAAGCCTAAAATACAAATTTGAGGGAAACAAGTTAGATACTTTATTATAAACAATAATAAGAATTAACTTCTAAGTAACTGTAGTAAAATCTCATTTAATTCAATTGGGGAAAGACAATTTTAAATCAGTAAAATGTCTCAGTAACAAATGCTTTATAAAGAAATGAAGTTTTGTTACGTTCAAGTTGGAACAGTACGAACAGCACTATGTCAAAGTACAGATATTTTTGACAATAAATAGAAAATAATGACTTACAGTGAAAAGGAGGAGGTTATATAAATAATGATTGAAAATTTTGTTTTCCTTCAATCTTGTTTTCCCAATTAGTTGTCTTGGTAATCACCACCACCCTCCCCAACCAGATCTAAATCTAAAAGTGATTGTCAATTTAAATCTATCCAGGTAGCACTATAGATAAAGTCATAGATTTGGCTTCCTCAAAATGAAAATTTTCTATATGGCAAAAGAAAGTACACAAGTTTTAGCTTCAAGCACCAGCAGCTGACTCTGGCTCAGAAGAGAAACTTATTAAAATATCTCAGGCAGTCCACATAATTTTCAGGTGGAGAGAATGAGCTAAAGGCTGGGCCCTGGAAACAATCCAGTCCTATGTAGAACTGCCCTGATGAGAAAACAGTCATCCTTGCTGCAGCCCTATCGAGCACTAAAGGAAGTTATCACAATATGATCTGTTCTCCCCACTAAGGCCATTGCTGTGCCAGGACTGCCCTGCCTGAAAGCTGGATGCCTCTGCCACCACTTTTTCCAGTGAAATGGATTTTCTGGGCATCTCTTTCCTTAAGTTGCTCACTTGCAAATCCCAGTCCTACACTGATAAGTCTGATTGGTAAACTTGGACCCTGAGGTCTGTGCTGTGAGTGCATAGGAGGCAAGTGTTTTGGATTCCATTTTGGTCTTCCTAAAAATAAAATTACCCCCAAATCACATGTATGTTCAAAAGGTGCTGGACAGTTGGTAAAAATAATGATGTCTATGATGAACAATAAAAGAAAAGTAAAACAACAGATTGGGAGAAAGTATCTGCACCAAATATAATTTTTTAAAAAATGGGGGCTGCCCTGGCCAGGTAGCTCAGTTGGTTAGAGCATCGTCCTTATATGCCAAGGTTGTGTGTCAATCCCTGGTTAGGGTGCACGCAACAATCAACCAACGAATGCATAAATAAGTGGAACAACAAACTGATGTCTTTCTCTCTCCCTAAGTTAAAAAGAAGAATGAAAAAAAAAAATGGGGGCTGACATCCCCAATGGTAAAGATTTATGAAAGCCTGATTAAACACGCCCAAAGTGCCCTGGCCTGTGTGGCTCAGTTGGTTGGAGTGTTGTCCTGTCTTGGGTTTGATCCACGTCTGGGAGCAACAGGTTGATGTTTCTTTCTCATATTGATATTTCTCTCTCTCTCTCCCACCCCATTCCTCTCTCTCTAAAATCAGTAAACATATAAAATAAAATAAACATGACAAAAGGATATAAAAAGTCACATAAAAATACAAATAGCAATAAAGTTATGAAAGGATGCTCAACTTCAAGAGCAGTGAGAGAAATGAAAATAAAAACCAGGAGACATCACTTTTACCCATTACATTTGTAGGATTTAAAGACTGCTTAACTTTGGCAAAAGTACCAGGAACTATGCACTCTCGCACACTGCTGGTGGAAGTATGAATTTTTATAGCCTTTTGGGAAGTAACTGGATATTAACCTTGAACATTAAAAACATGCATATCTTATGATCCAACAAATTCCACCTCTGGGTATGTGTCCTACAGAAATAAAACCACCAACAGATTAAGACTTATTATGTATAAGACATTTTTATAGTAGTTTGCAGTGTGAAAACGTGAAAACAGATACGATGTCCAGCAATAGAAGACAGGTTGAATAAAATACAGCACATTTACACTAGATGGTATGCAATCACTGAAGAGAAAGTACATATTAGAATGTGAGCTCCACAGGAGTAGAAGCCTTGTTTTTCTTACTAACTCTATATCCCCAGGGCCTAGAATGGGGTCTGGCATGTAGCAGTTACTCAATAAACATCTGCTGTATTGACTGAAGGAAAACCATGAGTATTTTGAGTAGAGAGTAGTTTAAATGTAATGTGTATGATAAAAAAACAAACAAGATAAAGCCTCTATTTATATGAACATAAAGTATGGAAGAATATATATCAAAACTTTAACAATAGTTAGCTCACAAGTGGTGGTCATAGTGTTGTGGGAAGAGGAGGGGGGTGAAGGTAGGGGATAGGATTAGACTGGGATAGAGATTGTTGACTCTTTGAATTGTGCTTTGTGCTTAGATTGTTGCAATAAATATATCTCTTATTTCAACATTCCTTTCAAGCTATCACTCTTTTCCTAAATAGCTTCTTGAAAGAGAAATCTGTTTCCCTTCTCTACCAGTTATTCTTCTGTACCTGGCTGCTGCTCCCACTACTCAATTAAAAGTACACTTGGCTTCCTAATTCCAAAATCAAATGAGCCAAGCCCCTGCCTTCATGGAGTCTACAGATTAAAAGGGGAAGTATTAATTAACATGCGATTAGTATTATAAAGTGCAGGGTGTTATAGAGATACACAATAGGCAGACCTAACCTAATAATGTTGGTAGGAAAGGTTAATGCAGAAAGAATGTTCAGGTTTAGACTGGAAAGGTGAGTAGCAGTTAGCTGGGCAAAGGGGCATACTGATAAATGTTTAACAACTGATACCCCTTCCTCCCCAAAAAAGCCCTGATTTGTAGCACCTGCTGATTTCCACGGTGGATTCTTTGCTGATTCTTTAGCAATCAGCAAAGATTCCTGAAATTTAGCAGTCAAGCTGTCCTGATCTGGTTCTAATATGACACTGGAAAGTTGTTTTTTTTTAAGGTGAAGAAAATGGCAAGTTTAAGGTCTGTAATGTGAGAAAGAAGGAGGCATCCCATTCGAGGACAGAGGTTCAGTGTGACCAGAGTCCAAGGGGCAATGGTGAGATGAGGTCGGAGAGTTAAACTAGACCTTGTATGCCAAGTCAAACATTTTTATCTTGATCTAAGATGGATCTTCACTGATCAGTATTTTAGTCTAAGGGCAGTAGGAAGACACTGAAGGGATTTAAGCAGAGGAAAGGTGATTAGAGTCATATTTTTAAAAGTTCATTCTGGTTGTAGTGTAGGGAATGAATTGAAGGGTTATACAGATTGGTTAGGAGGGAGGGTTCTGCTGTAATTCAGGAAGATCTGATGATCACATCAGTCAAGCCCACAGCAAGCAGGGAGGTAGAGAAGTGGACGGATTCAGTGAACGAGGAGGAAGGGACACATGGAGCCAGAAGGATCAAAGACGACTCCTGGAAATTTTGCACAAAAAAACCAGGCAGAATGACTGTCATTTAATGAGAAAGGTAACAGTGAAGGGGACCAGGTATGTGGGGTGAAGATTAATACATTCAACAAGTATTTGGGAATGTCCACATTACACCAAGCAGAACAAAGTCCCTGTTCCCATGGAGTTTACGTTTAGCAGTGTGGGATAACGGCAAACATGTTACAGGTATCATACAAGCCCAATTAGAAAAAGTAAGTTTTCCCCAAAATTATTCCTCAGAAAAAAAGGAAGTTGCCTTATAACTTTACAAAGTCTTTCAATGTAGAGTGTTCCTGCAACTATTTTAGTTTATATAACACAGCTGTTTGAAAAGTATCAATCAATACTGGTTTTGAATGATTTTTAGAGGTCTTCTGGACAAATGAGCAAAAGGGGGAATTTAATTAAGATTTAGTAATTTGCCCAGCTGACATGGCTCAGTGGTTGGGCATCAACCCAGGAACCAAAAAAATAAAATAAAATAAAAAATTTTAGTAACTTTTTGGGGGTGATCAAGTTATAATTACATTTAGGAATCATTATAAATTGAAGTAGGCTATGTGGCCTGCAGGAAATTGATCTGGAGCCAGTGGAAGTGAGTCTTCATAAAGGCCCCTCAAATAAAACAATATGTTATTGGGATTAAAATTATACACCTAAAGAATGAATTTTTAAAAAAACCCTACCCTAATTATGCAAATGTATCTCGGGTTTGTTAGAGAATTTCCAGTGAGGCATTAGATGGGATGCTCTGTATCTCAAATAACTTTAGGGAAGCTGATGTGTTTTGGAAAAATATTAGATGATTCATAAGCTAATTACAATGATACCAAAGATACTGATGATAAAATGCATGTGAAGATTTGAATCTTGTTTCATAAAATGTGTTTGAAAAGTATTTCTAAAGTTAGTATGTTATTTGCTATGTAATTCTTAATGTATGCCTACCATATGCCACACATATGAAATACAAGTAGATTGACTATATCATCTATGTGGCACACTGCTGGTTTTTGATCCAATGTCAATTCTCTCCTCTTCCTTAAGGAATTTTATTTGTGCTCAGCTAAAAGTGTGCACTTATAGTCTCTGTGGTGTGTGACCATGAGATAGATGTAAGCAGGGTCTGGTCATGAAATGTAAGCAGAAGTGTTGTGCAGACCTTCCAGAGGCTCTAAACTAAGGAGTTGCCTTGCAGTTTATGTGGAAGATTCCCCTATATCCTCAGTCTCATGGTGAGGATGTGAACACTGTATACTGAGGCGAGTGCTCTCGAGACTCCAAGTGAGATCTTATATTCAACTATATGATGCTGCCATTTGGATACACCTCAAATTTAGCATGCCTAAAACTGAACTCATTTTGTGTGTTTGGATCATCTGCCACTTCAGTCAACCAAATCGGAAACTTAGTCATCCTACATGTCCCCCTCTGCCTTACTCTCAATATTTTATCAATTCTGTGCACTGCCTTTTTCATAAACATTTCTCCAGGCCATTCTTTTTGTTGCTGTTGTTGTTGAACTTGGTGCTGTCTTAACTGAGAACATCACCATATACTGTCTGGAACACAACAGTTTCCAATTTGATCTCAGTGCTTCCAGACTCAGAGGGCAAATCAGGAAGATTCAGGTTTTATAGGCCTTAAACTTACACAATTTCAGGGGCTCTAAGAATACAAAAACATTTATTTTTGAATTTCAAAAACATGACCATGGGACCATATTGGTAGAGTCAGAGTTCCTTGGAAAGGGTTTCTGCAAGTGAGGAGCATGAGCCAGTGAGAGGCCCTGAAGATTCAAATCCCCTCCTGGGCCAGGCTCTTAGCCTCAATGCTTTATTTCCTCCAAATTAGTTACATGAGTAACAATGATGATTGTATGAGTACATTTCTTTGAATTGAAATATTGGAATAATACCGTCTACCTCACAGGAAAAATAAAATTAGGATAAACAAACATGAAGATTTTGAATATTAGAAAAAAAACTGCCTGGTATTAAGGAAACTGGTTGTGTTTTACGGATGAGTCTTGAATCTACTGATGAACTCCGTGTTTACTGCACAATCCAAATGGATTCTAAACTCTCCATAAAATTACTCCCAATACCAATGCCCCTCCACTGAGTGGTCTTTTTTTCCATGCCTAGGACACCTGATATACCCTCCATTATAGCAATTACTTTATTGTGTTGTAGAGAATATTTTACATTTCTAGCTTCTGAAACTGTATATGCTTTGCAAGCTGGGATCAAATCTTTTTAACACCCTCCAGGAGGGACATAGTAAGTATTCAATAAATATTTACTGAATAAGTGACTTACATTAAAAATTTTACAGTACTCTCAAATTCAGTGAATTAGATCCTGATCTTTTTAAAAATTATTAATTTGAGAGCCAGTACTGGTATAAATGAAAACTATAAAACTATAAAAATCTAACCATGAATAAATAGTTGAGATATGTCATTAATGTCATCATCAGTAGCATTATAATAGCATTATATTACATTAATATTATAATACTGTCTTAGGGAAAGAAAAATAAACATTTAACCCATTTACCCTCTGTTAAGGGTGGAATTAATGTGCCCACCAAAATTCATGTCCTTCCTTGAACCTCAGTAAGTGACCTTAGTTAGAAACAGGGTTGTTGCAGATGTAATTAGTTAAGATGATGTTATACTGGAGTAGGATGGGCCCTTAATATCTGCTGGTGTTCTTACAAAGAGAGAAGAGACACAGACATTAGACACATGAAGGGAGAGGGCTAAGTGACTTTGACAAGGGTAGAGATTAAAGTTCAGCAGTTGCAAGCCAAGGAGTGCCAAGGACTGCTGGCAACTACTAGAAGCTGGGAAGAGGTAAGGAAGGGTTCTTCCCTACAGACTTCAGAGGGAGCATAAATGCTGCCACCTTGACTTTGGACTCTCCTTACCAAAACTGTGACAAAATACATTTCTGTTTTATTAAGCCACCTCTTTTGTGATACTTTGGTATAGCAGCTCTAGGAAACGAATACACCCTCACAGTAAATACTTTATTCATTAGGCTATTATTTTCTTCACTGCACTGATCACTCTAAATGAGATGATCTGATTTTTGTTTATTGACAGTCTTGCCACAGGCCTGTAAGATCCCTGAAAGCAAGGCTGTCTGTCTTGTTGGGTCTTGTATCTCCAGCACTGGACAGAATTTCTAGCACATGGCAAGCCNCAGGCTGTCTGTCTGTCTGTCTTGTTGGGTCTTGTATCTCCAGCACTGGACAGAATTTCTAGNAAGGCTGTCTGTCTTGTTGGGTCTTGTATCTCCAGCACTGGACAGAATTTCTAGCACATGGCAAGCCCCCAGGAAGGGTTTGTGACTGAGTGAATAAACCAGTGCCTGAAAGGCCAGAATGGCAAAGATGGTATCACAGGCGGTAACAGCATTTTTCATTCGAGGAGAAAAAAACCAGGAATTAAAATACTGTGACTGAATTTTAATGAATGCACCAGAACGTGTACTTTCAATTGAGTTTTTCTCCTTTTCAAAGCACTCACTTCTAGTAGCTAACGACTATTTTTTTTATATTTTTTAATTCTTCGTTTGGAACTGCTCTTAGAGTCTGTCCTCACGAAGGTAGATTTGATTTCAAGAAACCACCTAAAGTAATGTAAAGCTAAGCCCAGTAATTAAACCTGGTGATAAAGCTGGGCAATAAATACTCAAAAATGAGACGTGTCCATTAAAAATAGAGACTTTCCAAAATGGACAAGATCTCTACGGAAGGATGCCGAAGATGAGCGAATGTACGGCGATGGGTGATGTAAAAGATCCCTTTAAAAGTTACCATCTGCATCTTTCATCACTTTCTAACTCCAGGAAAACGTCACTAAGCCATGGAGTGTTCACTAGCAGCTACGCCGACGTGGGGGAAATTTAAAATCAGCAGAGACCCAAGAAAGCGTCCGACCCCCGTACCAACCATAACGAAGTCATCCTTCCGATAGGCCCGAAACACCTGGTCAAACCCGAACGCCTGCGCCTTCATTCTGCCCAGCATGGACCTGGGGCCGAGAGGAAACAAACGACGTCAGGTTGGGACGCGCACCCCGAGCGCAGCGGGCCAGCGCCGCCGCCGGGGCC